AATTCTTGACCATATTTTCCTTAAGAATACAGAAAGTGAGGGACTTCTTCAGAGTTTCATAGATGCCTCTTGTTTTCAGAAAATGTTCTTAGCTGTTTGTTTCATAGATTTTCATCTTATTCCCTACCTATGCTCTCTAGGGTAGCCAGACAAAACTAAGTAACACTATAATCTTTATAATCATTTATAAAGTGTTGGCATAGCAACTAGATGTCACTGCCACTTGATATTTGAATGAATTGCTCTCCATATATACTACATTTCATGTTCCCATCAGCAATAATTTGAATAATCATGATTCCACCACATACCTCAGACTATCATGATGTTTTCCCCTAGAAGAGGTTATGCCTGAGCTCTTCAAATATGATCAACTCAATTGTAGAATTCCTTGAGGCCACTATTGTATCAATCAGGGTCACAAAGTTCTCTACTCCAATTTAGTATAATTCAAGGAAATTTTAATAAAGGGACTATTTGCAAACACGTGACCAGATCTAAGGACATCATAAGTGATAGTGCAATACCTTAGGACTAGTAATAAAATGGTATTCTGACCCTCAGGTCCAAGTTGTGAAGGGAAAGTCCCATCTGGAAAGGGTACCTCTAAAGCTATGTGTGAGGTTTAATGTTGAGAAAGTCAGCTAACACTCATGGAGGAGCAATTAGGAAAGAGAAGTACTCTCACCTTCCTCTTCTGAGGCAAATGAGAAACCACAAAGTGAGAAAACCTATTGGTTTAGCCAATAAAGATTAGCATATTAAAGCAAAATGCAGAATGGAAAAGATTGGAGAGTAGAAAGGAAGAGGCAAGTAAAAAATATTCAGTACAGTTCATTCTAATTTTTTTTTAAATATAAGCCAACAGTGTTGCTTTATGAGAAACCCATGAAGCATAGAGTAAATATGAAAAATTGTGCTATTAACACATTGAGTTGAAGCCAAAATTTGAGTGTCTTAATATAAGGAGGATTTATTTGCAATACTAATTTGATAAGTAACATTCACAGTAATAAGTAACATATATATATATATATATAAAATGCATTTGAAAATAATTGTAATTCATATTAGCATTTTTATTAATTGTGCATCAGTACTGTAGGATTTTAAAAAATCCTCTGGACATTTTTTTTACATGTTGATGGATCTTTATTTTATTCATTTAATTTAGTGGTGCTGAGATTTGAACCCGGTGCCTCACACATGCTAGGCAAGCACTCTACCACTGAGTCACAGCACCAGCCCTCTGAACAACTTTGTTTACATATTAAGGTAATTGTTCAAACTCAGGTCAAATGTGGTGTCATGAACATAATTTCACACATTATCTTCCTCATTTTGTTTTTCCTCTCAGTCTTTTCTTTCTATAGATTTTGTGTAACCATACATCTATACATTATTACTGTTTTTTTTTTAAGTTTCTGCTGCCTTTAGAGGCAGTACATTTTAGAGGGTAAAAGCAAGATTGTGGCCACACTAGGGATACATATCCTGGCTTGCTACTTTCTAATTAACTGTATGCTCTATAGTCCTCATCTATAAAATGCAAATAATGATAATTATGTCCCATGAGATATCTTGTAGGATTCAAGTTTGAGATAATTATGTAAAGGGTTTGAAACTGTTCCTGACATACAGTAATATGTGAGCTAAAATCATTATTATAAAAATATAAAAATCAGTGGTTGTTTGTCAAGAGAATTTTCTATCCAAACTATCATTTATGGATTATTGGGAGTCTTAGCTTTTATTTATCTAGTATTGCTCCCAGTATCTGGAGGTAAGAAACAGAGTGTTCTTGTAGTGAGCTTCTGCAATGGCCAGCCACTAAAATAAGCATGTTTACTAAACTGTCAATTTAATTGTCTTTATATTTTTCCAATTCAGCCCAGAAAACCGCGGAAGTAAAGTTCATCGATGTAATTCTGGGCGTGGTGGATCAGATGAGTGGAGTGACAAACTATTTTGCCCCCTCAACGGTTTTATCTATAGTTGTGCCGCGCAACCGCAATGATTCCTACTTTTACTGTGGAAATGCTGTTACTATCTTCCCTTTATCATAACCTGTTTACAAACTCTAAAGGCAATTTCAATCCTAAACCTGTGCGTTTCTTTTCCTCTGCAAAGAACGACTGGCGGGTCCCATGCAATCATTTAAACGAGGCGCTGCGGTTTCATTGGCCAGAAGCTGCTGCTCATTGATTGGCTCCCTGGTGTTGTGGGCGGAGCGCGGAGGTGCCCATTGGCGGAGGCGAAAAATTTAAACGGAGGCAAAAGGCAGGTCTAGTTTTGCTCCGTGACTTGAGTTTGCGAGTTTGTGGGGTTGGTACCCTTTTTATTTCTAGGGTGTCGGCTTCTGGAAAGCAAAGCGGGGTAAATTCGCTCCGACCATTTCCACGGCCGCGCGGTGAAGCGGTCAGCGTCGGTCGGAGGTCCCTGCTCCGGAGCAGCCTGGTAGAGGGTAGGGAAGGAGGCCGGGTCGGGGTCTGAGGCTGCCATGGCGAACCGGCGAGTGGGGCGAACCTGCTGGGAGCTGAGCCCTACGGAACGCCGGCCGCCGGCGGGGCGGCGGGAACCAGCGGCCCAGGAGGAGGCGGCTTCCCCGCCGACGCTGTCTCTCAGCCACTTCTGCAGGTCCCCTTTCCTCTGCTTCGGAGATGTCCGCCTGGGCGCCTCGCGGACGCTGCCCCTGGTCCTGCACAACCCTAACGAGGAGGTGGCTGAGGTGGAGATCTCGCACTTCCCGGCCGCGGACCTGGGCTTCAGCGTGTCTCAGCGTTGTTTCGTGTTGCAGGTATGTCGTGGGGCGGGGCGTGCCTTGGGCTGCGCTTTCTACCCGGTCCTTCCCGCCGCCTTCCTCCGTAGGATGAAGCTTGGGAAAGGAATGACAAAAATACCCTCAGAGAATGAAGGGAGAGTGTGGTGGCCCTTGACACACAGTTTTCCACGCACATATATAATGTTAGGGCACTCATTTACTTGGGCGGTGACAGTGCATCAAGGCATGCCTACTTATCTTTAACAACATTCTAAGTAAACTTTATGCAAAAAAAAAAAGGCATTTAAAAATACGCTCCGGGTATTTTTAAATACTTTTGGTGTTTTTAAACTAATAGTTGGCACTAAGAGTGCATTCAATTTAATTTTATGACATTTGTTTCAAGAACCTCCCACATAGCTTTTACAGCCTGCTTTGGCCAAAGTACTAGTCCCATTCCCATCACCACAAAAGAGAAAATTTGGTTCTTATTTTGACTGATGTGTCCTTTTAATTGAGTAGATCCTTGGAAAGCATGAAATCATTAACTGAGGGAGTCTAGATGGCTAATAACCACTTCATAAGGCAGTAGTAATTCAAATCTGAGGTCCATTGCCTTCTGTGTCACTGCTCATCTGCACTTCAGAACCTGGCTGGTCTTGTTTATAAATGACTGCTTTTCTTCCTATGGAAAGTTGGATTTCTGTTCTGTATAGTGATACTTTTACTTTTTTGTTGTTGTTGTTGTTGTTATAATGTAGAAGTAAAGTTCTTGTTTTTCAGAGTAAATTGTTTTACACAGTAAAGATTCTGTATTTGTATTTTCTAAAACAAACTGCTTATGATGTTATATAGATTTACTTTTCAAACAAAAAACTGGTTTTTTTCCTCTGACAAACAACCAAGGTTTTGTTTGTTTGTTATTGTTGTTTTGTCATGTCAGGGTTTGGCAGATTCTATTGGACAGGCTGTATGGTGTAGATAGATGTTAAAGTCTAAACTCTGGAGCCAGACTACTTGGGTTCTAATTATTAGTGGTATGACTTTGACAAAGTTTCTAGACATTGGTCACTTCATAGTTAACCAGTTGTATGAAATACCTGCAATTGTTCCTGAAACATACAGATTGTTTAACAAAGATCAATTTTATGATGTGGACTGTAGAGGAGTTTGTGAGAAAGAGGAAATTTAGTTGATCATCTTTATGTTTCTTTTTCCACAAAATCTTTATAATACAGGACCATTATATTTGAAATAAAAGTACTGCACATGATAAAGGAGTAGACATTTCAATTTTTTTTTAAAGCCACTCAATTAAAATGATTTGGAGACTATTCTATTGCTTTCATCCAGTTAGATTTTTTTTTTATTTTTTAGTTGTCAATGGATTTACATGTAGTGTTGAGAACTGAACCTTGTGCTTCACACATGCAAGGCAAGAGGTCTACCACTGAGCCAGGACACCCAGCCCTCATCCAGTTGGATTTTATTATAGTTTTATGTTGTTATGAACCCTCTTAGTGCTGGTGACTATTTTCATTATAATGAAATGAGCAGATCAGGTGGGAAAAATATATTTGACTTACCAAATGCTTTTAGGATTTTAGAGTGTTCATGAATAATAGCTGCTGTATGGTATGCTTTGATTATTTTAATTATATTGTCATAATCATTTAAAATGTATTCTTTTGATTGTAGCCTAAAGAAAAACTAGTTATTTCTGTTAACTGGACACCATTGAAAGAAGGCCGAATAAGAGAGATTGTGACATTTCTTGTAAATGATGTTCTGAAACACCAAGCCATATTGCTAGGAAATGCAGAAGAGCAGAAAAAGAAAAAGGTAATAGTTTAATCATTCTATAATTTACTCCAAGAAAATGTTTCATAATGTGTAAAAATTGTTTTGATGACAAGCCTGAGTAACATGTATAAATTGCTTATTAAAATAATATTCAATGGTTTTTAATTTCATCAGTATATTTTGTTTGTTTTTACAGAGGAGTCTTTGGAATACCATTAATAAAAAGAAAAATTCAGCCTCTTCAAGTTATAACAAAAAGATTTCAAATGATCAAAATGTTAACAAAACATTTTGTGTTTCTCAAAAAGTTGACAGGATTAGGAGCCCACTACAGGCATGTGAAAATCTGGCTATTAATGAAGCCTGTTCTCCAACAGAAAATAGTTCTTTAACCCTTGAAGAACATAAAATACCTATATCACCTATTAGCCCTGCTTTCCAAGAATGTCATGGTGAAATTTGCTTGCCACTTTCTGTACGTCGGTCTACTACCTACTCATCTCTTCTTGCATGTGAAAATGAGGAACAGTTAAAAGTAGAAGATGCCACCATTTCAAAAGATTTTAATTTTAATGAGGAAGTCATAACTAAAACTTCCTTTCAAAGTGAGGAGAATAGTAAACTTATTCTGACCCCAAACTGTTCTTCAACTTTGAACATTATGCAAAGTCAAGCAAATTTTCTAAGTCCAGATTCTTTTGTAAATAATAGTCATACAGCTAATAATGAAGTAGGGTTAACGTCATTTCTTTCACCAGATACACTTAAAAAAGATAATTCAGAGTCTGTGAATTTGGAATCCAAAAGTATACATGAAATTTACAGAACAATTTTAAGTCCAGATTCTTTTGTAAATGATAATTATGGAGCAAATCAGGATCTAGAGTCAGATTCAGTTAATCCTGTTTTATCCCCAAATCAATTTGTAAAAGATAACATGGCACATATATATACCTCTCAGCAAACATGTAAAATATTATCATTATCAAATGAAAATTCTCAGATTGCCAGGTCTCCTCAGCAGTGGAGAAAAAATGAAGTTTTGCCATGTAGTCCTGAATATCAGGGTTCAAAAACACCCAAGCCTAATTTTGAAGAACTAAATCCTATAGAAGTGAAGTCAAGTTACTACAATTTTAGAAAACAAATTCACCCTAAATTTTCTGCAATTCAGGATGTTTCTCGTTATAGCCATAATAAGCAACATAAGAGACGCCCCATACTTTCTAACACAGTTATTAAAAGGAAGACCACCATTGCCAGAGAAAATCAAGCTGAGATTAATAAACCAAAAGCAAAAAGATGCCTCAACAGTAGAGTAGGTGAATGTGAAAAAGTAATAGATCACCCCAAAGAAACAGAAGCTTTACATTCTCATCTTCCAATTATCGATTCAGTATTAAGTAAACCTAAGTGTTATAAAAGTGAAGTAACTAATTCAACGACAGCTTTAGTTGCTTGTAAAAGAAAAAGTGATGGAAACATGGAAGATACAAATGTGAAGGTTGCTATTATAGAACATATGGATATACCCCAAATCAAAAGAATCCACTTTTCTCCCTTGGAATCGAAAACATCAACTGTTAAAAAAATAAAGATGACAACACCAATCTCAAAACGTACTAGCAACAGAGAGAAATTAAGCCTTAAGAAGAAAACTGGTGAGTATTACTTATAAAATTTTTAGTGTATTTTCTGTTTTGGTTTAGTGAATCTGCTATTTTTTTTTATAATTATAAGATTTGTGTTACTTTATTTTTTTTATTTAAAGAGAGAGTGAGAGAGGAAAGAGAGAATTTTTTAATATTTATTTTTTAGTTCTCGGCAGACACAACATCTTTGTTGGTATGTGGTGCTGAGGATCGAACCCGGGCCGCATGCATGCCAGGCGAGCGCGCTACCGCTTGAGCCACATCCCCAGCCCCATGAATCTGCTATTGATAAGCTTATATTAACTTGTACTTTTCATTTGTCAGATTGCTCAGTGGAAGACAGAACAAATAGTGTGGGACTAATTTCTGAAATTATTGCAATCTTGTCTGTTAAAATTTGGATATTTTTTAAAATTTTATTTATTTATTTTTTAATTGTAGATGGACACAATACTTTTATTTATTTTTTATTTATTTTTATGTGGTCTTGAGAATTGAACCCAATGCCTCACATGTGTGAGGCAAGCACTCTCCCACTGAATCACAACCCCAGCCCAAACTTTTGATATTTTACTCATGAATTTTCTGCAATAATTCTGTTTTTTAAAAAATATTATATCCAAATATTTATCTCAATTTGATATTTTTGGTACCTCCTTAAGTTTTACAACCTAAGAAAGTATTTGACATGTCTTGCCTTAGTCCACGCCCTAACTAGAAGGCCCAGTGAAGTTCCTGGCCCGAATACTACCATTGGAAAGATTGTTTGAAAGACCTATTCATGTCCTGTGCTCCTGATGAGCTTACTCTGTCTTCGCCTCTGCCCATCCACTAATTGGAAATGAAGATAGGTCCCTAGAGTTCTCCATTTCTTAGAGAAGAATATTTTTCCTTTTCTAGTATTCACAGCTTTATCACACTGCCTCAGAAGCAGACAGGATTAATCCCATCACACTTTTAACCCAAAATACCTCTTCTGACAATCAAGATCCAAGCAGGAAAGTAACCCACACTATGTATTTTACCAGATAATTTGTTTTCTTTCTCCTATTCTGTAAATCCTTCTATATCCTTTGGACTCACTGTTCTTCATTAGCACTTCTTTGCAAACATTCTCCTACCTTGTTACCCTGTTGCAGCCTGACCTTCTCTTGACAACAGTGCTTTCATTATAACCCTCTCAAGTTCTGTCTGCATTCTCTCCTACTTTTATGATTTTGGAGCTCCTGCTGGAATCTTCTAATATCTACTTTTTATTTTTTATCTATTTCCAAACTAATATCCCCTCTCTCACTTAAAAACAAGCAAAAAGAAAATAACAAAATAGCTTAAAGCTCATTTTTCAGACTTCCTCACCTCTGTCCTCTCTTGATGCAGAGAATGATTCACTCTCAAAATTTTGAATCTTGCTTATTATACTTTTTCTAAAACTACTACTATATGATTTCAAAATCATTTTCCAATGTCTTTCTAATACTCTGGGAATTTAGTTCCAACCTCCTTAGGTCATGCTCTCCTAAAAGCATCTTAATCTCCAGTTACTATCTCTATAAGTTCCACATTTCCTCTAGAACCCAACTTCAACATTGTTTATACCCCACTGTACACATACAGTTCTTTAATCCACCACTGTTTCCATGGCCCTCATCTCTGACCTATCTATCTTTCCTAATTCAGCTTGAATTCCATGGTTCAACATAAGCACTTCCCCTTCCTTCCTTCCCTTCATTGTCCATGCCGCAAATTCCAACTGTATTTCAGTCTAACTTTGCCTACTCTATGCCTGAACCTTGCTTGGTTGTTCTTTATTACTACAAACCCCAAGTAATCCCTGAACTCTTTTTATGGCTGTATTTTCCTGGCTTATTAACTTTGCTATAGGGTACCTCACCTTTTTCTCCTGAAACTTCTCTTTCCTCCTGTCTCATGATTGATAATAGTAGCTGACATTTACTGAGTTCTTTTATGTGTCAGACCTAGTTGTGAGTGCCTTACTATTACCTCTTTTAATATTTATGACATTCATGTGCAGTAAATGTTATTTTTACCCATAGCACAATTTTACAAATAGGTACATTGAGACTTGAGTAATTTGCCCATTTTACAGTCAGTCAGTGATAAAGCTGGGGTTCTACCCCAGGTAATGTCAGTTCTGTGATCCTCATCCAAGCTGATGACCCGTTTCCTATTTCACTGAGGGAGTAGAAATATAGATGCTTCTCTATTTATTAAGGATTACATCCAATAAACCCATTATAATCGACCTTAACAAGAAAAGTTTCAATAAAATAGCAAAAACTGATTGAAGTGGATTCAACAATTTTAGGTGATGAATTGGAAATAACTAATAAAGCTCCTTTCAAAATGATGTTTTACTTCAGAAAATAACTTTTAATTAAGTATAATCTATATGCAAAAATTATACAAATCAGTATATAACTCAGTGAATGATCACAAAGGGAACATTGACTCTATTAAGGAGTTTTGCTTAAAAGAAAATGTAAGCAACATAAGCATAGAGCATAGGCTGAAGGGATAAATGGTCAGTGAGTTCCACACTGTAAATCCAGTGATTATTTCTCAATCTTTTTTTTTTTGTATTGGGGATTGAACCCTGGTACATTTAACCACTGAGCCTCAGCCCTTTCCTGTATTTTATTTGGAGGGTCTGGCCAAGTTGTTTAGGGTCTCCCTTAGTTGATGAGGCTGGCTTTGAACTCATGATCCTCCTTCCTTAGCCTCCCAAAGTGCTGGCATTATAGGCGTGCACCACCATGCCTGGCTATTCTCAATCTTCATCTTGAACTATTTGTAAACAGTTTGGAACCTTGAACCTCTATCTTCTTGGAACATTTTATCTTGCCATTCTCATTCTCCTGGTTTTCTTCCTTCTTCATTGACTGCTCCCTTTCAGTTTTCTTTGTGGGAAGTTTCTTATTACCCTTACACTTTGGATTACAGAGGGCTAGTCATTAAACATTTTTATATTTTTACTCATTCTCTTAATGATCTCATCTATTATTTCTCAATAGTGAGGCCCAAAGCTGTGGAATTGTCCTAATTTGTGTTTCTCTCTCATCCTTTCTTTATAAACTCAAATGCAGATCTGATTCTAAACTCAGTCCACCAACAAATTTTCTCTTTCTTTCAAATATAATCATAATCTGATCACTTCTCACTCACCATTGAATGGCACCATTTGGGCCAGTCTTTGTCATTGCAGGATGTGCAAACAGATCTCCTTGCTTTCACCCTTGACTTTTCCATAATCTGCATACCCACATACTACTTTTAAAATATTAGAGGCTTGGACTGTTCAGTTCCATAACATCTAATGACTTCCTGTTGCAATGAAAGCCAAAATTCCTACAATGGTTTACAGGTCCCTATAACATCAATATTATGACCTTTTGACTTTCCAGCCTCTTACTTTTCTCTTTCCCTTGCTCACTGTTTTTTACCACTTTGGCTTCCTTGTAGTCCTTGAAACTTCAAATATGCTCTGTCCTCAGGGTATTTGCAGTTTGTTGTTTTCTCTAACTAGAATGACCTTTTTATTTAGTTCACTTATCACCGTATCATGTTCAAAACAGTGACTTGACCCAGGTTCTCAAACGCTACCAAATATTTAGAGTCACAGTTTAAACTTAGGTTTACCTAGCTACAACATAAATGTTTTGTTTTTTTTTTCACCATTCTTATTGGGGTTTAAATGGAAGAAAAGCTAAATAAAAGTTTTTATTTAGGGTAACGACCAAGGATTATAGTGATGGCACAATGGGATTCACTGGCTTCAAAGTTCTGTGCCAATGTATAATTATTAAAACAACTCTTCTAATTTTCCACTATGTGGTGTTTTTCTTCCTTGCTCAGGAAACTCCAATGGTGCTTTACTGTTATCAGATGATTTACAAAATTATTATTCTGCCATTTTAGGTCATCAGTTATAGGATCTCTGTTTATCTAGCCAGATATCTTTATTCACCATTCTGTCTGTGTATCCTCTTACTAACATTCATATCTGTTTTTCTCTCATTAATTCAATCCTTTATTTCAAGTACTTTTGTTAATACTGTTCTCTAATGAATTTCCCTCTAATTATATTCCCTTAGAAACTAATTACAGCTTATGTGACATCTTGAACCTGTTAATTCTATTTCTTGCTTTACTGTTTTTTGTAGATATGTTCTGATCCGATAACAAATTATTTGATTCTAAGAAACATATCCATTTTGGTCTTCTGCAAGGTATACAACAAATGATGAACAGAATGAATTCGTGAATGAATGAATGAACAAAGATCACTGAATTTTTGACACTCAAACCCGTACCTGTTTTTGAGGTCCGTGGTTGAACCTCTTTGTTAGGTTTAGAGAGAACTGTACATATTTGGTATCTGATATATGAGCCCATAGAAGAGCCAGTAATTCACTAAGAGCTGCTCTAGCTTCTTTCTCTTCTGACAAACAATTCTCCAGATATATTTCTTTAACACTAATGAGGCCCCTTAATAAAGCATATATTAAGTATTCATACATTGTTTAGGCTCTGTTTTCCCAGGGAAAAAATATAATTTGTATCCTCAAGCTACTCCCAGTTTTAATGATTAAGCTCTGCCCAGGGAATTATTGAAGCATAGAAGCAGAGATGTTGTATGAATGGCAAAAAATGTGATAAGGTACTAATGCAGGCTTCCTAATGAATAAAATGATTTCAATGCAGAGGGACTAGCTTGTTGAAGGTTGCAAAGTGAGTCTCCCTATTATGTTTTAAATGTTCAAATAAAAAGAAAATTATAACAATAAATGTTATAACTTGATCATGTTCCTTATCTTCATAATAGGTATAGATTTGAGATTCCTCTAAAACAAGAGTAAGCAGCCTTTTTTTTTTTTTTTAGGGATTTTTTAAAAAATAACTTTTTAAATACCTTTATCTTATTTATTTTTATGTAGTGCTGAGGATCGAACCCAGGGCTTCACATATGCTAGGCAAATGCTCTTTCACTTGCCTACTACAACCCCAGCCCCTTTTTCTTTCATAGTTCAGATAATATTTTTGGCTATGCAGGCCATATTTCTATCACAACTATTTAGCTCTGCCATTAACAATGTGCCTGTGTTCTAATAATTTTTTATTTATAGGCACTGAAATTTGAATTTCATGTAGTTTTTATGTCATCAAATAATATTCACTTCATTTCCCCCCATTCATTTACAAACGTAAAAACTATTCTTTGCTTATAGAACATACAAAAGAAGATTGTGCTGGATTTTACACATGGGCTATAGTTTGCTCTAATTAGGAAAGATGCTTACATTTAGTAGCAGAATATGCTGGTATGAAACCTGCTTTTGAGAGAGTGAACTGCTACTCCTATAGATATTTGCTACTATGAATTTTATTGCCTTTTCCTTTATAATTACTTGCTATTTATTAATCATGTAAGCTACATACTTGGTAATCAGTCTGTTCTCATTCTTCACCACTTTCCTAGTGAGTTGGTATTAAGACTTATTGTTTCGACTATTAAAACAAATCTGCTCTGTTTCCTACTTTTGTTAAAAATTGTTTTATCATATCTAACTTGGCTAATAACTACCTTGTAGTTTTTTATCTTTAGTCATAACCCCATTCATTTTCTTGCTTATAGTATTTTCAAAAATAAAGATGAAGGTGTTATTTCTCGAAATAAAATCTGTCACTGAAATAGAGGGTACTTCAAACTTGTTAATAGTGCAGGCTCTAGAACTTGACTACCCAGGTTCAAACCCCTGCTGCTTCCTAACTTATGTGACCTCTAAGCCCTAGAATCCTAATTATGTAAATTTTGGATAATTATAGTACTGTTCATAGATTTATTGCGATAATTATATGAGGAAAGATTGATACTTAATAGCTCTTGGCATAGTATATTCAATTATTAGCTGCCACTATTACTAATATTGTTGAACTCTTCCCTCCCTCTTCCATCTTCTTTTATGTAATTTCTTATTTGTGTTTATTCTTCGTTGTATCATTGTTATAGTTTTGTCAGCAAGCCATATCCCTTGTGCTTAATATTCATTTTAGGAGTTAGCACATGTATATTTTCATCCAGAAGGTCTTTTATGCCCCCTTTAAACTTTTTCTGTATTAGACTTAACTGCCTATAGGCTGTGACAATTATCTTTCTATTCTGTATTTTCCCTGTACCTAACACAGTCTGGAATATATGCACACAGTCAATTGTGGTTAAATCTGGACAGTAACTTCTGTAGACAAAAATTAAATGTGGTTTTTTGGTTTGTACATTCTAGATGTTGGTTTCATTGACCACTAAGTTCGTAATATTAGTATGTGAAGCATAGTAATTATTAAGTACTTGCTAAATGAATATGATTATGAAGAACCCATACTTTTAATTTTAAATGAGCTACCAACTTTGGGAATTTTATTTTTTAATGCTATTAATTTTGTTTTCTAATATATTTTAGATTCAATGGCATTCAAAACGCCTATTTCTAAAACAAACAAAAGGATAAAACCCATTGTTGCTGTGGCACAGTCTAATTTAACCTTCATAAAACCATTAAAAGCAGGTAAGTACTTATTATATTTAAACTGAAAATATAGTTTATTATATTTAATCGAAAAAGTGACATGGAATGAAGCATCAATTTCATTTCAAATGGAAATGAGTTTTTTTAAAAATTTGAATAAAGGCCTTGAAGAATTTTTAAAGTGTGTATGCAAATTATAATTAAGGTATTCTATCAGATTTTACAGAAATTGCTTCATGGTAGGTTAGGATTTTTAAATAATCAGGGAATTTTGTTTTATTCCCTATCATTTTGCTTGATCACATTTCATACCCAAAATGTTTTCAAGTCTTTGCAGCAAGTAGTGAAAAGCAAATATTGTTCAGTTTTTTTATTATGGTTTCACTAGTTTAAAAAAAAGTTATTTTTCTATATATTGTACAGTAATTTACTAGAAACTTTTATATGTAATAATCTAGTTGTATTCTTAGATATTCCTAGACACCCAATGCCATTTGCTGCAAAAAACATGTTTTATGATGAGCGCTGGAAGGAAAAACAGGAACAAGGATTCACTTGGTGGCTAAATTTTATATTAACTCCGGATGACTTCACTGTAAAAACAAGTATTTCTGAAGGTAAACATTAAGTTAATGTTTAAATTTAATAATACTCTTGTTTTAGCAGACCAAAATTTGACAGGATTTGTCATTCTTTAATTATATATACTTTACTTATTACGTTATATTTCACTAATTTATTGACTTAAGTTTTTAAGATTGTGTAGGTAATTTTTCTTACATAGGTTGACATGAATAGATTTTCTGTACTAAAAGTACTGAAACTTGCCTTTTCTTTTTACCTTCCATTCTATCACTTTATCAGCCAATGTAAGCAGTCCTTTGTGGCCTGAACATTTTGGATGTATTGACTCCACTATTAATACCTTAGTTTAAGAAGTAGGTCAGAACACTGCATAGTACAGGGACTGTGAGAGACAATTCAGATGAAATTTTAAAACACTGCAGTGTTTATTCTGGAAGAGAAGACTTGGGTGTGGGATAAGGTAGAAGCATGACACTTCGAAACATTTGAAGGATTTTCTTCTGAAAGAGAAAGAAATTAACTTTTGTGTATTCTTCATAGAAATTATAGGAATCCATTTCAGATAACTAAAATAATTTTAGTTATCAAACCATTGTGTAATCTTGTAAAATGGTGATTTCCCCCATTGTTGCAATGTTCAAACAGACCATATTTCACATTCACCAGAGAAACGTGTGGGATTTCTTCTATTAGATGCAGAGTCTCTGGTTTAATTCCTAGGTCCTTGATCCATTTTGAGTTAAGTTTTGTGCATGGTGAGAGATAGGGATTTAATTTCATTTGGTGCATATAGATTTCCAGTTTTCCCAGCAACATTTGTTGAAGAAGCTATCTTTTCTCCAATGTATATTTTTGGCGCCTTTGTCTAATATAACTGTATTATACAGTTATAATATAACTGTAATCATATGATTCTGTGTTCTCTATTCTGTACCATTGGTCTGCTTTGGTGCCAATACCATGCTGCTTTTGTTACTATTGCTCTGTAGTATAGTTTAAGTTTAAGTTCTGGTATAGTGATGCCACCTGCTTCACTCTTCTTTCTAAGGATTGCTTTTGCTATTATTTTTCCAGATGAATTTCATGACTTCTTTTTCTATTTCTATGAGGAGTATCATTGGGATTATGATTAGAATTGCATTAAATCTGTATAGTACTTTTGGTAGTATGATCATTTTGACAACATTAATTCTGCCTATCCAAGAACAAGATAGATCTTTCCGTCTTCTAAGGTCTTCTTTAATTTCTTTCTTTAGCGTTCTATAGTTTTCATTGTAAAGGTCTTATACCTCCTTTGTTAAATTTGATTCTCAAGTATTTTATTCTTTTTTTGAGGCTATTGTAAACAGGATAGTTTTTCTCATTTCCCTTTCAGAGGATTTGTCACCAATATACAGAAATGAATTTGATTTATGGGAATTGATTTTGTATCCTGGTACTTTGCTGAATTCATTTTACTAGTTTTCTGGTGGAGTTTTTTGGATCTTCTAGGTATAGAAGAATCATAGGCAAATAGTGCTAATTTGAGTTCTTCCTTTCCTATCTGTATCCCTTTAATTTCTTTCATCTAATTCCTCTGACCAGTGTTTCAAGAACTATGTTAAATAGAAGTGGTGAAAGAGGGCATCCCTGTCTTGTTCCAGTTTTTAGAGGAAATGCCTTTACTGTTTCTCCATTTCAAATGATGTTGGCCTGGGGCTTAGGCTTATCATAGATAGCTTTTATGATGTTGAGATATATTCCTGTTATCCATCTATGTTCATTAGAGATATTTATCTGAAGTTTTATTTCTTTGATGTGTCTTTGCCTGGTTTTGGAATGAGGGTGACATTGGCCTCACAGAATGAATTTGAAAGCACTCCCTCTTTTTCTATTTCACAGAATAATTTATAGAGTATTGGTATTAGTTCTTTAGTTGTGTATTCATCTGGTCCTGGGCTTTTTTTGGTTGGTAGGCTTCTGATGGTGTCTTCTATTAATCTGTTTAAATTGTGTATATCATCCTGATATTCAACTTGGGCGACTCATATGCCTCTAGAAATTTGTCAATGCCTTTAATATTCTCTATTATATTGGAGTACAAGTTTTTAAAATAATATCTAATTATCTTCTGTATTTCTGTAGTGTCTGTTGTGATATTTCCTTTTTCATCACGTTCATTGGTAATTTGAATTTTCTCTCTCCTTCTCTTTGTCAGCATGGCTAAGGGTTTGTTAATTTTATTTATTTTTTTGAAGAACCAAGTTTTTGTTCTGTTAATATTTTCAATTGTTTCTTTTGTTTCAATTTCATTGATTTTGGCTGTGATTTTAAATATTTCCTTAAATATGTCTTCTACTGCTTTTGGTGTTGATTTGTTGTTCTTTTTCTATGGCTTTGAGATGTAATGTTAAGTCATTTATTTGTTGACTTTTTCTTCTTTTAAGGAATGAACTCCATGCAATGAACTTTTCTTAGAACTGCTTTCATAGTGTTCCAGAGATTTTGATATGTTGTATCTGTGTTCTCATTTACCTCTAAGAATTTTTTAATATCCTCCTTGATGTCTTTTGCAACCCATTGTTCATTTAGTAGCATATTATTTAGTCTCCAGTTATTGGAATAGTTTGTATTTCTTATTTTATCATTGATTTCTAATTTCATTCCAGTATGATCTGATAGAATACAGGGTAGTATCTCTACTTTTTTGTATTTGTTAAGAGTTACTTTGTGGCATAATATATGGTCTGTTTTAGAGAAGGATCCATGTGTGTTTAGAGAAGAAAGTATATTCTCTCATTGAAGGATGAAATATTCTATATATGTCAATTAAGTCTAAGTTATTGAGTATATTATTGAGTCTTATATTTTCTTTGTTCAGCTTTTGTTTGGAAGACCTATCCAGTGGTGTAAGAGGTGTGTTAAAGTCACCAAAATTATTATGTTGTGGTCAGTTTGACTCTTGAACTTGAGAAGAGTTTGTTTGATGAACATAAATGCTCCATTATTTGGGGCATATATATCTCAAATTGTTATGTCTGGTTGGTATATGGTTCCCTTGAGCAGTGTGAAATGTTCTTCTTTGTCCCTTTTGATTAACTTTAGCTAAAGTCTACTTTATTTGATATGAGGATGGAAACCCCTGCTTGCTTCTGCAGTCCATGTGAGTGGTATGATTTTTCCCAACCTTTCACCTTCAGTCTGTGTATGTCTTTTGCTATGAAATGAGTCTCTTGGAAACAGAATATTGTATTGTTCAGTCTTTTTTTTTTTTTGATCCAATTAGCTAGCCTATGTCTTTTGATTAGTGAATTTAGGCCATTAACATCAGGGTTATTATTGAGATATGGTTTGTATTCCCAGCCACTTTTGTTTATTTTTGTTATTTAACTTGACTTGGTTTTCCTTTGATTAGCTTTTCCTTTAGTGTAATACCTACCTTTGCTGATTTTTATTGTTGTTTTTCATTTTCTCTTCATAAAATAGTTTGCCAAGGATGTTCTGTAGTAGAGGTTTTCTAGCTGTAAATTCTTTTGTTTATCATGGAAGATTTTTATTTCATCATCAAATCTAAAGCTTAGTTTTGCTGGATACAAAATTCTTAGTTGGCATCCATTTTTTTTTTTTTTTTCAAAGCTTGATATATGTTGTTATAGGATCTTCTAGCTTTCAGGGTCTGGGTTGAAAAATCTGCACATAACCTAATTGTTTCTCCCTATATGCAATCTGATTCCTTTCTCTCGTGGCTTTTAATTTTCTCTCCTTATTCTGTATGTTAGGCATTGTTATTATAATGTACCTTGGTGTGAATCTGTTGTGATTTTGTACATTTGGTGTCCTGTAAACCTCTTGAATTTGGTTTTCCAATTCGTTCTTTATGTTTGAAAGTTTTTCTGCATTATTACATTGAATAGATTGTTCATTCCTTTGTTTTGGAACTGTGCCTTCCTCTATCCCAATAAGTCTTAAATTTGGTCTTTTTATGCTATCCCAGGTTTCTTGAATGTTCTGCTCATGGTTTATTACCATTTTCAACTGTGTGATCTACATTCTTTTCAAGATTATATATTTTTTCTTCATTTTTCGAGGTCCTGTCTTCCAAGTGGTCTAATCTGTTGGTGATGCTTTCAATTGAACTTTTAATTTGTTTCTTTCATTTCAAGGATTTATTTTTGAGAGAGAGAGAGAAAGAATGAATTTTTAATATTTATTTTTTAGTTTTCGGTGGACACAACATCTTTATTTTATTTTTATGTGGTGCTGAGGATCAAACCCAGCACCCCGCGTATGCCAGGTGAGTGCGCTGCCTCTTGAGCCACATCCTTAACCTCTCATTTCAAGGATTTTTGTTTGGTTTTTCTTTAGAACTTCTATCTCCCTATTGAAGTAATCTTTTGCTTCCTGTATTTGCTTATGTAGCTCTTTGTCAAGATGATATTTTTTTGCTGCCTGTATTTGCTCTCTTATATCATTCTTTAATTCACAAAACATTTTAACTATATACATCCTGAACTCCTTCTCTGTCATTTCATTTGCTGTGCTGGCCATGGATTCTAATAATGTAGTATCTTCATTTGTTTGTGGAACCTTCTTCCCTTGTCTTTTTATGTTGCTTTTGTGTCTTCCTTTTTAGCTCTGTGGATCCAAGGCGTTACCATTTTTATCCCATAGGCTTATAGTGCCCCTGTAGGGTTCCAATACCTCTCCTGAGGGAAAGGACAATGTTAACAAATATAAACAAAATACCACCTAAAAACAAAGATATTTACAGTTTGGCCACAGTGTACAGAAATGGTAAATTCAAGTATTATTTATAATATAATCAGTAGATTTATAAAAGGGTTTACAGTTTCTGATGGTGGGCAAAGAACCCAGGGTGAGGTGTAGGAAGATATGTTGAGGAGGTATGAGATGAGGATATAGAGTTAATCTTAGGCTGTGTGAAAGAGAAATCTAAAGAAGAATGTTAGTAGCAGGAGAATAGAGAGATAGTAATTTGGGGTAGATAAGTAAGAGGAAAGACATAGAATACATAAAACAAACACATGTATATTAAGAAAAATTTAAAAATGTTAAAATAATAAAAATTGGAGAGAAAGAAAAAAAAGAATATACAACACAATTGTAATATACTATTCAGTCTTACCCGTCCTCAATATCCTAATTCATGCAAAGTACTTGCTTTCACATATGTTGGGGATGTGAGGGCAGGAGAATAAAGAGGGAGAAGAAAGAAAAAAAATCTCAAAGGAAGAAATAAGGATTGTTTTGGTTGGAGATGAGAATCTTTCCTGCTTCCCTTCTCATCCAGTAGGTGGGGTTGTCTGTTCTTAGTTGGTATCTCTGCCCTCATGATGGTGGGAGTTACCAGGGTGCGAGGGTTGGTCTTGTGTGCAGGGCACCTGGAAGTGGGGTTTGGCACTCCAGTTGGGAGACTGCACCTCAAGGATCTCTTTGGCATCTATCTGCTCCTGTCATGTGGGTGCTGGGTCTTATCTCCTTATCTCACCTGTAGACCTCACAGTTCCTGCCCTCTAAATTAGTCTCTAAAGTGTATCTTCCTTACCCCCTCCCTTTCTACTTCCTAATCAGGAGCCTTTCTCCAGAGGTTCTTGTATGTTGCACTCTGGTGGCTGTCATAGAGGGCTGTTTTTTATTGAACTGTTCCAAGTTAGCAGCTGCTGGCTATTGGGAGGAATTAGAAAACTATGGGTACATGGCTATTTGGTGTTCCAAACTGGTAGTTGCCCCAACTAAAGATGGTGATGAAGATGACCCAAGATGGAGGCAGCTGCTTTCTGCGATGGGGTGTTGGGTGGGGTGGGATGGGGTAGCCAGGAGATGTGTTGTGGTTCAGATGAGCTCTGTAGCATGCAATGTTGCAGCTCTCGGCTTTTTTTCAGAGCTTCTGATGTCCCCAGGTGCAGGCCGGCTACCACAAGTAGGGGACTAAGGCAGTAGCTGCCGAGTCCCAAGAGGGAGCCTCACATTGGTAGATGGGAGTCCACATGGGAGTGGTGGCTGGAGTTCCTGCTCATGGGTAGCAGCTGTACTTCGTGGGAGCGGCGTCTGGGAATTCTGCGCTGGTGCTGATGCCAGTGGTCCCACTAAGGCACCTTGTGACCTGCGTGAGCAAGTAGTCGGGAGTCGGAAGTGCTTTTCTAAAGCTGAGGCCTCTTTGCCTTGCGGGCAAAGAGGCTGTGATTCCTGCTCAGCGGGATCAGCTATGGGGGGTCCTCTATCACTCTCAGCAAAGCAGTATTCCCACAGGCTGAGACCCGGGTCATGGAGCGACACAGAATGCTGCCTCCTTCTGGTCTACCATCTTGGATCTGAGCAAAAATCACATTCTTTAGGAGCTTAACTTTTTTTTTATTAATTTATAAAAATGATGGAAAATAAGCCAGTTCAAAGGTCATTTAATATTCTGGATTAGAGAAGCTAATGTTTAAAATGTTGGTGGTAGCAGGTAGTGCTAACAGGTTGTGGAGATAGATTGGCCCAAGGTACTTAGTGAATGATGACAACTACATTTTAAGATTAGAGAATCAGAAGAAAACTTGGAAGGAGTGGGAAATGGATTCCATTTTTATCATCTTAAGTTGGATTTTATTGCTGAATTTAACAATTTATGATATTTTTTAACCAGAAACATTTATTCTTTTTTTTTTTTTTTACCCAGTAAATGCTGCTACTCTTCTTTTGGGAGCGGAGAGTCAACATAAAATAAGTGTTCCTAGAGTGCCTACAAAAGATGAAATGTCTCTCAGAGCTTATACTGCACGGTGCAGGTTGAATAGATTACGCCGCACAGCATGCTGTTTATTTACATCTGAAAAAATGGTTAAAGCTATTAAAAAGCTTGAAATTGAAATTGAAAATAGGCGGTTAATTGTTCGAAAAGATAGACACCTCTGGAAAGATATTGGTAAGAAGGTTACTGATTAATTTTTTAAATTTGGCATTTAGTCCCTGCCCCCAGTTTTATTGAAGGAAGTATAATTGACAGATAAAAATTGTATATATTTAAGATGTACAGTGTGATGTTGATATGCATATATACTGTAAGATGATAACTACAATGTAGCTGATTAACATATCTAGCACCTTACATAGTTACGCTTGTGAGGAGGATGGGTTGGTTGAGGACATTTAAGATGTATTCTTAACAGATTTCAAGTTTGTAATTCAGCTTTGATAACTATAATCACAATACTATACAATAGATCTCTAGAACTTATTCATCTTGCATAAATGAAACTTTGTACCCTTTTGATAAGCATCTCCTCAGCCCTTGGCAACCACCATTCTCTCTGCTTCTGTGAATTCAATGTTTTTAGATTACATGTGCAAGCAAGATAATACAGTGATTGTTTTTCCTTTCCTGGCTTATTGCACTTAACATAATGTCCTACAGGCTTATCCATGTTGTGAAAAAAGACAGTATTTCCTTCATCTTAGAGGCTGAATAGTATTTCATTATGTGTATAGACACAACACATTTTCTTTATTCTTTCTTTCATTGGTGGATACTTAGATTATTTCCACATCTTGGCTACAGTAAATAATGCTACAATAAATATAAAAATAAAATTATCTCTTCCAGACACTGATTTCATTTCATGTGTGTGTGTGTATGTGTATGTGTGTGTATAGATAGATAGATATATTTTTTGTTTCAAAGCTAAATTTACTTGCTTTAGCTTTTCTGCCCCAAATCTCACATACATAAATATAATCATGTATAGTTAAGAATAGAAGTATTTTTTATATAGACAATTTGCTTCATATAAGTGATTATTCTTTTTTTTCCACTGATATCTTTTCTATGGAATTTTATCCTCTTTATTTAAGTAGTGATCTGAACTTGTCTTTCTTTTGATCTATATTTCAGGAGAACGTCAGAAAGTCTTGAACTGGCTATTATCCTATAATCCTTTGTGGCTTCGAATTGGCCTAGAGGTGAGCATATGTTTTAGTTTTAAACAGTTTATTTTTCAATTGTATACTTAGAATATTCTTTAATAAAATGTGGTTTTATTCATAGAAGTTATAAAATTATTTGTTTAGCTTGACTCATCTTCAATATAAAATATAAAGTCAACTAGGAAATACTGATTAGATAAGTAGACCATGTCATTATTTATTATTGACATATTGTTACAGAGTAATTTATTTCTATAGTCTTTTTCTTCTTTCTTTCTGGTTTTTTTTTTTTTTTTTTGTATTGGAGATTGAACACTTTACCATTCAGCCACACCTACAGCCTTTTTTATTTTTTATTTTGAAACAAGGTCTTGCTAACTTGTTTAGGGCCTTGCTTAATTGCTAAGGCTGGCCTCAAACTGCCTCAGCCTTCTAATCCACTTGGGATTACAGTTGTGTCACCACCATGCCCAGCTACTTCTGTAGTCTTTTAAATATACATAATGTGATTTTGGCTGTAATGAACCTATAGTATAGTAAACTAATTTTTTGAACATTTATAAATGAAAAGACTAGGCTGTTTAAAACATATTTTCTAATTTAAGTCTCTTTAAAATTCAATGAGATGTGTATTATTATTTTTACTTCTCTAACAAAGTGAAAGCTATGATATTAAGTGACTTGTAAAATGCCAGTAATTGGTCAAGCCTTGTACCTACAACTGTCTGAGCCAAATCACAACTTTCCAATTGTTTGATGGACTACTACTTAAAAAACATCATCCAGATTTGAGTTATTACATAGTACTTGTTAACTATTATAACATTTTGAATAATTAGGGTTCTGTTATACTTTCATGATATCTGTAGAGGCATGGTTATAATTAAATTTGAACAATGTTCCTATATTTTTTAAAATTTTTGGTACTGGAGATTGAATCCAGCAGTACTCTACTCCATTACTTTTTATTTTTTATTTAGACTGGGTCTTGCTAAGTTGCTGAGGCTGGCCTCAAATTTGTGTTCCTCCTGCCTTAGCCTCCAAGTAAATTTTAAACATAAATGTAAATGCTCCTTGTCAGATGATTAAAAATTTATCTAAGTTCTAAGTTTTGTCTTTTTTTGTTGTGAAGTAAACATTTAAAAATGCATAAAATATATATGTACAGTTTTAAAGGGTTATTTACTGAATGACTATGCCATTTCCTTACTGTTTAGGATATAGACTATTACCAGTTCTTTAGAAGATTGTTGTCTACTCTTCTCCAATAGCGTTTCATTCCTTTTTTGAGGTAATATGATTCTGACTTTAGGTTTTAATTTTTTGTTTTTAGACAATTTATGGTGAACTCATATCTTTGGAAGACAATAGTGATGTCACAGGGTTGGCTATGTTTATTCTGAATCGCTTGCTTTGGAATCCTGATATAGCAGCTGAATATAGACACCCTACTGTTCCTCATTTATACAGAGATGGTAAACATTGCTGCTTCCTTTGCATTTTCTCCACACTATGCACAAATGGCTTCTAGTTATTCTTCCTGTTTCTATTTATGTTTTACTTTCTTAAAGAAACCAGTCTAAATAGGTCTGTTTCCACTGCCTTCCTTTCCCTTATTCCTATTATTCCTCTTCACTATGTATAATTATTACTACTATTTGTTGTCTCTATCCATCTTCTCCCTCCAGTAGGTTATAAATCCTATTCAGATTATATTTGGCATGCTTTGCTACTGTATATATAGTGCCTAGGACAAAGCTTGCAAATAGTAGGTGCTCCTTAAATGTCAGTTGAATGAATCCAGCTAAATCTCCTCATGTGCCCATTTTCCTTATCCATGAATTGAAAATATTAAATGGTACCTCTTATGTAGAGTTGTTGTATAGGTTTATTGAATTCATATATGTAAAACACTAAGAAAGGCACATAGTGTGATTTTTCTATTTGTTTGCTACTACTTTTTTCACGTTTTAAGTGAAACTTGCCTTTCATGGATGAATTTGTTATTATTTTTTTTTAAATATTTTTTCTAAGGTCATGAAGAAGCTTTGTCCAAGTTCACATTGAAAAAGTTATTGTTGTTGGTCTGTTTCCTTGATCATGCTAAGCTTTCCAGACTTATTGATCATGATCCTTGTCTCTTCTGTAAAGATGCCGAATTCAAGGTATAGTTTTCATTTTATGTTATATATTTCAAATTTCCCATTTAAGACTTTTCTTGATCTTATGGCATATTTTCTGTTTAGAAAGAACATTAACTTTGGTTTTTTTTTTTTAATTTTTTTTTTAGCTGTTGATGAACCTTTATTTTATTCATTTATTTATATGTGGTGCTGAGCATCAAACTCATTGCCTCACACACATGGGGCAAGTACTCTACCACTGAGCCACATCCCCAGCCCAGAAAGAACATTAACTTTCTAGAGACTAATATGTTAGAATATAATATGAATGAATGTTTATTTAGTGAATCCCATCAGTAATTCTACCTTGCCTGATTTTTTGTTGGTTAACCTTTCACCAGTATATCATTATTACTCTTAATTTTGACATGAAAATGAACTAAACTATGTTCCTAAGAAATTAATTTTGAGGGAAATTTCTTACCTAATTTTGATGTAGTATATTATCAAATTAATGCTAGGTTTTGTAGTATGTTATTAATTATGAGCAAATTTTAAAGAGAACATGAATTGAAAATGTATGATATTTGCAGTATTAACATTTGATATGAAACTGAAAATCTTTTTATACTATAATTAATTTTATGTCTATATGTACAGAATGACCAAAAGGATTTGCTTTTATTATATAAAAAGTTATACTATTGAAATATTATATCTGCAACCTGTTTCTTTGTAGGCTAGTAAAGAAATCCTTCTGGCTTTTTCACGAGATTTCCTAAGTGGTGAAGGTGATCTCTCCCGTCACCTTGGCTTTTTGGGATTGCCTGTTAGCCATGTTCAGACACCATTTGATGAATTTGATTTTTCTGTTACAAATCTTGCTGTAGATTTGCAGTGTGGAGTGCGTCTTGTGTAAGTATAAGAAATAGAATCATTTTGCTAATGGAATATACTAAAATTTTTTGGAAAACATCGTACTCTGTACTCATAAATATATATTTTTTTTGTTCTTTCTTGTAATGGAATAAATTTAGGGTTGAAAAAAATTGAGATTTCTCTTTCAAAAAAATGATATCAGTTTTATGCCCAGAAACTTTTCTCCTATCACACTTTTTTTTTCTGTTGGCATGTGACTTGAGTACATGCTCTGCAGTACATGGTTAGGAACTACTGATGTCTCAGAAAAGGACTGGGAAAGAGCATGAAACTAATTAAAACATGAAACACTTAAATACATTTTATATCAATGAGTTCCATTATCATTTCAGACTAGCTTTAGTAGCATTTACTTTGTTTTAATGTTTGATTAAAATCAGATGAAGTGATAGAATGACTTGCCCAAGTTTTAGAGTAAAATGGAGATATAAACTCTTTGATGCCTGACTTTAAATTACAGAATATTTACCAAATAATAAACTGGAATCCCTCACAATTGGCTATGATTTTAGTAATGGATTGCTTATTTCAGCTTTGGAAGGCCTGACTTTGACCATGTACTTCAGTTAGTCTCTTTAGAATTTCTGGATTGGAGACAATAGTCTTATTTCTAGGGAACTCTCCAATATGTTATACCCTTATCAAGGAAACACTTTGGGGGTTAAAAAGAGAGAGAGAGAGAGATTTAGTTATAGATGGGCACAATATCTTTATTTAATTTATTTACTTCTATGTGGTGCTGAGAATCAAACCCAGTGCTTCACACATGCTAGGCAAGTGCTCTACTACTGAGCTACAGCCCCAGCACCATTATGTATGTTTTTTTATGTGTATTTGAATTTCAAACCAGCCAGTTAAACTGGTAATGGGTTGGTCTATTGTTGCAGAAATGTTTCCTACATTGATTGGTCTAGGATGATCTTAAGTCATTTTCTAGCCTTTAGAAACTATGATTCTGTAAATAATTTTGCCACCTTTTAGTTATATACAACATCAGATGAGGCTTGCTTTTTCTGTGGAAATATTGACTATTGTGTAGTGGATAAAATATTGGTAACCTAGATGATATTAGGAATTTGAATTCAAGCTCTGGAGTACATGTCTTTTTTAGGTAGACATTCAAATATGTTTATTGTATGCATTACTATTATACAGAGAGAGAGAGAAAGAGAATTCGACCAACTGTAGTTATGGAAACTGATGAAACAAGATTTTAATTGCTGTCTTATTTCTGTCGTAGCAGTATATGATGATGAATTAGATCAATTAAATTAACTTCCTCTGGGCCTTTGTTACTTTCTCTGTTAAAAAAAAAAAAGGGGCCACTAATACCTGACTATGGGATTTACCATGATGACTAAAATAAAAAAACAAAAAAACACTTAACTTGATTAATAGATTATAGCACACCTTAATACATGCCTCCTTCTTCTTATCCTTCCTCTCCTTCCTTTTTTTCTTTCTCTGTAGAAGTTTATTATTTTGTTGATATGTATGTATATTTTTGTGTATGTTTCAGTTTTCTTATCATTTTATTCATGGATTTCCATATTTAAAAATTAAAAATGAAAAACAACTACTCATTAACTATGGAGCAATACAATTTTGAGATAGTTATTTGGAGTCTTTTTGACCTTACTCTCTTTAAACTCTTGGGATTTATGTGGGTAATAACTATTTTTAAATGAATATTTATTTTTATATATATTGTTACATAGCAAATTCATCTGAAAATTTCTTTACTACTAGGCGAACTATGGAACTTCTCACACACAACTGGAATCTTTCAAAGAAACTCAGGATTCCTGCAATAAGTCGTCTTCAAAAAATGCACAATGTTGACATTGTTCTTCAAATTCTTAAATCACGAGGAATTCAATTAAGTGATGAACATGGTAAAAACTGAACAGAGAAATACTTATTCTCATTGAATATTGGTAGATATATATACATGAATCATGCTAATGGACTGCATTTTTATTGGCAGGAAATTCAATCCTATCTAAGGATATTGTGGATAGGCACAGAGAAAAGACTCTTGCATTGCTTTGGAAAATTGTATTTGCTTTTCAGGTATTATACATTTGGCACATTTTGTGTTTTTTTTATTTTTCAATTTTGATTACTAGTTTATAAAAGGAATTTGAATCAAATAAACACAATAATAACTGCCACTTATTAGAATTTATTTTGTCTCAGGCCTGTGATAATTTTTGTATGTATTCTATTTTAATATTTCTCACACATGCATTAGGTCATGTTAAGTCTCCTTCACAGGTGAGGAAAGTGAAGCTCAAGTTTATATCATTGATATGTGGAACTATGCTGAGAATCTAAGCTTGTGTGGCCCCAAATCTCATTTTCTTAACCACTAGATATTTTATCAGTGTAGATTATAGGGTGGCGATGTACCTTAGTAGAAGAGTGCTTGCCTTGCCTAGCATGTATGAGGTCCTTAAAGAAAATGTAGATTTTTCTGTACTTTGGGAATTTTATTTTTGGATTTTAAAATTTCAGATTAGGTTTAATTTTTTTTAACCTGCAGTTGATCAAAATACAGAATAGATACTTTAATTCTGTAGGTCAAAAATAACATGATGTGGAACTAGAGAGAACAAAGGAAAAAAAAGGGGGGATAGGGTGGGGAATCTCATGAAAATAGAAGACCAGTATAGTAGAGGAAAGTGAAGCAAGAAAGGAGAAGGCAGGAGAGGAGGAAAAGGGGAGAAGGGTACTAGGAAATGGCATTGACAAATCATGTTATGGGTATGTATGAATATGAAACAATGAATCCCACTATTATGTACAATATAAAGCACCAATAAAACATTAAAAATATAAACTAATATATGAAAAATTAAGGAATTTATCCTTTTTATATGTTTCAGGTGGATATTTCCCTTAATTTAGAGCAATTAAAGGAAGAAATTCACTTTCTAAAATACACACACAGTATAAAGAAATCATTGTCTGCAGTGTCGTGCCGCTCTGATGCTATTATTAATAAGAAAAAAGACAAAAGAAATAGTGGTTTCTTTGAACAGTATAGTGAAAATGTGAAATTATTGATGGACTGGGTAAATGCAGTTTGTGCCTTCTATAATAAGAAGGTAAAGTTTTTTTTGTGGTTGTTTTTGTTTTAATTCACTATCTTTAAATAATTTGGGTTGATGTCAATTAAGCTTAATGCATAAAATATTTTCTTACATTTCTTAAGTAATGTAATTTTTAGATTTAAGCAGACTTTTCCTCACATGAATGATTATATTGTTGTATGCTAGATTTTAACTAATCCAAGTTGTCACCAATTGGAAAATGCATGATGTAAGTTTTATATATCACTAAGGGGGAAAAATGCCCTTAATTAAGCATTTATACAGAACTGGTATATGATGTCCATTTTGTTATTATATTCTTGTTTAAAATGGCTATCAAGTGTAGTAGAAGCATATGCAGAATTCATAAGAGAAAACTGTGATGTTCCAAACAAAGTATGTACATTAAGTAAACTTTGTTTAGGCATTGAGTATATAGTGCTGTTGGCCATGCTTTGTTTCTGACTGAATCAGAAACATACATAGAACAATGCCATCTACAGACTGATGAAAATGTTGGGACCAGAGACTCACAGCACTGTGTCTTTCCCCCCTGAGAAGTGGTCAGTATTCCCTATTCAGTGTTCACGGATAATGAGAATTGACTATAATTACTGTATTTACTTAAGAGAGCTATAACAAATTACTGCAAACTAGACCTTTATTCTATTCACAGCTCTAGAGACTTGAAGTCTGATACCATGCCTGAGAAGGGAATATGCTCTCACTAAAGTCTCTAGGGAACTGTGTCATGTTCTTAAGTACTGGTGGTTGCCAGCAGTGCTTGGTAGTTTTTGACTCATCTGTGCATTATTTTAGTCTCTGCCTCTTCCCATCTTATGGAGTTCTCCTTGTGTTTCTGTCTGTGTGTCTCTTTCTTCTTAAAAGGACACCAGTCATAATGGATTAAGAAGTCACCCTACTTGTATGACCCCATGTCACTTAATTATATCTATAATGACCTTGTTTCCAAGTAAGGTCACATCCTGAGGTTCTGGGAAGGATGTGAAGTTTTGATTGATACTATCTAATCCAAGACAGTAATAATATAAAATCCTACTTTTGAAATGGTTAGGATTTAATATTTGAGAATTTGGCTGTGCATATGGTATACTAGATTCTCTTAACAATTAGTGTGATACTCTTTAACTACTAAAAGGATATAATGTTCTATGAAAGCTTATATGAGTATTTAAAAACAAGTAATTATTTTTCTGGTATTTCCAATCAGGTAGAGAATTTTACAGTGTCTTTCTCAGATGGCCGTGTGTTATGTTACCTTATCCATCACTACCATCCTTGCTATGTGCCTTTTGATGCTATTTGTCAGCGTACTACTCAAACTGTGGAATGCACACAAACTGGTTCAGTGGTATTAAATTCTTCCTCTGAATCCGATGACAGTACTCTGGACATATCTCTTAAATCATTTGATCCTGGTTAGTCCTTTTTTGTTGATCAACCTTTCTGGTTCTTTGCCATGTCTGATTTTGGGCTATAGCATTCTAATTTCTTTCTTTCTTTCTTTCTTTTTTTTTTTTCTTTTCTTGCATGATAGAAAATACTTCAGAACTCCACAAAGAACTTCTGGAAAATGAAAAGAAAAATTTTTATTTGGTCAGGTCTGCAGTTAGAGACCTTGGTGGAATACCTGCTATGATTCATCATTCAGATATGTCAAATACAATTCCAGATGAAAAGGTAAATAAGGGTTTCTTAAACTCTTAATAAGTCTCAGAATATAACAGTGAGTATATATTCTCTGTTGATCTTCTGTATTCATCTTTTGTGTTTTTTTAGGTGGTTATTACCTATTTGTCATTTCTTTGTGCAAGGCTTTTAGATCTTCGTAAAGAAATAAGAGCTGCTCGACTTATACAGACAGCATGGAGAAAATATAAAATAAAAACAGAACTAAAGCTCTATAAGGTAATCCTAGAAAATGAAGACATATGAATTGTACTTTAAAATATGCTAGTGTTTTGGGTTTTTGTTTGTTTGTTTGTTTGTTTTTTAATGGTGCTGTTGATCAAATCCAGGACATACTTGGCTAATGTTCTATCACTGAGCCTCCAGTTGATTGGTTGATACAGCCTCCAGTTGATTGGTTCTTGATGTGAATTTTATATTTACTAATATATGAAGTTAAAAAAGATAAATTTAATAATTGCATGTATGTGTTTTGAGGTGACATGGTGTGAATATTCTAATCACTACTATTTTCTTAATTTGATTCCTTTCCACCTCTGTCCACCCTTTCACTTAGTCTGCCCTAGGGCATGGGGAATAATGTTGTCTGCTTTGTAAATTTGTGAAGAATAACTTAGGGATGCTTGACTCAGCTCTTCTTACAGCAGGACTCTCCTTTTGATTTTTTCAAGTTGTGCTCTGTGAGGCTTCTCCTAGTGCTAGTGTTGATTGGGTCTGGACATCAAGTGTCTGATTTTGCAGTAATTAACAAGACCATTTTGTTTGTCCTGAGACCATCTTTCAGTTTATCCTTTATAAAGCAGTATTTTGGTGTCCATTATTTTATTTTTCAAAATGTTTAAGATCTGGACATAGGATAGAGATGTTATTTATTGCTTTCTTTTGTGATCCCAACAGTACAAAATTTTTCATTAACATAAAATAGCTTCATTCTTAGGTTCTGAGAAAAATGTCATTTTTAATAATCTGAGAAATGGTCTCTTGACCAGTTGAACAGAACAGATTATTTTAACCCTTTCATCTTCCTACCTACTAACCAATATTATACTTAATATTTAGAAAACCATCAATAATAGAACAAGTAGTCATCATCTAATAAAATTTATCATAGATATTTCAGAAATAGGTTACATTCATTATTGCTCCTCAAATTTTTAATTACAGTAAATTTATATTTATGGCCAGTTTTCAGTAGCTATCTAAAACAACTAACATTTTGGCAACTACGAAACATAACCTGTTTTCCTATACAGTGTCTGACTTAGAAAGAATAATAACTGAAATAATTTGCTCTTGCCCAAAGTCCTGTAGTAACTTAATTAACTTAAAAAAATTAATTATCATATAAGGAATAAAGTCTTAAATAATTAAGTATTTAATTCACATTTGCTGGTTTTGTTTTTTAAGGAGAGAGACAAAGCTGCAAGAATTATTCAGTCAGCTGTAATAAATTTTCTAACCAAACAACGAGTGAAAAGAAAGATTAATGCAACACTGGTCATTCAGAAATATTGGAGAAGAGTCTTAGCACAAAGAAAATTATTAATGTTAAAAAAGGAAAAACTGGAAAATGTACAGAATAAAGCAGCAACGGTCATTCAGGTATAGTATCCTGAACAAATTTTTTTAACTTAAACATTTCTAGTAACATTTTAAAGGAAGAAGGAAAAATATGACAAAGTCTTCAATGATTATATATTAGAATTCTTTTTCTAATGTTCTCTCTTAATATCCAAAGATGATTGATTCCAGGACCCCTTTGTGGATACCAAAATCTGCAATGTATATGATTTGCATGTTATCTATGTACATCTTCCTGTATATTTCAATTTTCTATATTACTTATAATACCTAACACAATATAAGTGCCTTATAAATGGTTATTATACTGTATTGTTAAAGGAATAATGATGACAGGAAAAGTCTGTACATGTTCAGAACAGGCACTTTTTTTTCTGGAATATCAATCTCTTGGTTGAATTTAATAATGTAGAATTCATAGATACACAAAGCCGACTATATTTGATTTAAAAAAATATTTAGCGTCTCCTTATTACCTGTGAATCTCTTTGCTACATTCAGCATAAGACTGAAACATAATTGAAATGCCTTCTTTGTTCTGAAAGGGACAAGACTCTAGTTCTATGCATCTTGCTGTCTTCATTTTGTATTAGAGATTTGTAGTCTTCCACTGCATGGGACATTGTGGCATACAGCATCACTCTACTTTGAATCCATGTACCTTACCAAGGTATAGCTTTATCTTAATAATGAGTCCTAGAAACTTCTCTTTGGGAACAAATAATACACACATTTTTCTCCCAAGCCCATTTAGTTAGTATATAATGAAAATAGTGCTTATAATTAGTCAATAGAATGTCTATGTTATTTTACTTTTTAGCCAAAATATGTAACATCTATTTAACATAATAATATGTTCCTTGTGTTGACTATTCTGGGTCCTTTGCTTTTTTGTATAATGTTAGCATCAGTTTGCTGATATCCAAAGTAATTGGTGAGATTTTGATTGAGATTGGATTGAATCAAAATAAAGAATTGACATCTTGATAATTTTGAGTCTTCCTAAACATACATGACCATGGTATATTTAGATCTAAATTTCTGATATTTCAT